ACCCAAGGCCATGGCTTTGCATGCGCACCAAGTGTCAAGGATAGCCTCCAGCATTCCACCAAGCTTGCATGTGCTGCATCGCATGCAACTGTTCCCATGCCTTATCTGAGTGCCAACACAAACAACTGCTCATAACAACCCATGGCCAATAATGATTGCCTATGCATGCACACACCTTGTACACATCAGACATCTGCATGTCCACTTGCCTAGCTCAGCCAATTTGTCTCAGCTCGATCAACTCCACCCCAACTCACTAACGTTCAACTAGCTCCTAGTTAGCTCAGTTCAACTAACACACCCTTCCAGCTCAAGTAGCTGCCTATTGTCATCTATAGCTACTTGCACTATTGCCTCCACCTAAATCCTTTGGCCATGCCAACAGCCACCATTGGTCATGTTCGCATGACACCATGTACCAGGCTAGACACCCACGCTACACCCAATCCAATACTGCCTTGTGCCTGTGTAGGCCGCCTGCGTGTCCCTATGCAATACATAAGCACTCCATGCTTCTGCTTCAACTTAATTTGCCAACCAACCTCCTACTTTGGACATCCTTCCACCCTACAAATATAAAAGCTTTGGCCACCATCATATCTTGGACTTCTATCGATCACAACTTCAGGGAATTCCCCCATTAAATACTTTTTAACTTTGGTATTTTGTTCAAGCAAAGAAATACATTCAAATCTCACAACTTGATGTCCAAACTACTTTGTTTCTTAAATAACAAGATTATCCAAGCTAATGCCATTTTGGAGTGGAATCCATTCACATTTTCAGATTATAGTTATAAAATACATAAGTTGCACTCCTAAATTTAACAATGTGTGGATTCATTCATGTTCCAGTTCTAAATCCTAATAACTACAAATTAGAGTGGACATGTCCCCTTAGGGGATGGTTTTGGTTATCAAGGTATACACTAAAAAATAAAATCTATAAATTGGACAGGCCATAGGCCTATACCCATAGGGTTTTCCCTTGCTATTTATATGCCCAAACTTCAATGGGTTCTCTTCTTGTAGCGTGACTACCTAAAGCCAAACATAGAAGCCTGCTAGAACAAATCAAATATAGAAGGATCTAAAATAGAATATTCTAAGATGCCTAGAAGAAAAGGTGATGAAATTGATTACAAAGCAGCCCAAAAGAGCTCCCCCCCCTATTTGGCCCTTGTTTAGTTAAACTGTCAGCCATCCTATTTGCTGATCTTCTACTCCACTTGAAGGTAAAACAATCTCCCTTGATAAATAATTTATCTCCTTCATGACCTGCCTGTGGGTCCACACCCCCAACTTCCTTGTTTGCATCCACCCTATCACTAGCTTAGAATTAGAGCTGTTCATGGGCTAGGTAGCCTGATGGGCTGACCCGGCTTGGCCTATTATTTATCGAGTTTGGACAAATCTTTAGGCTCGCTGGCTCGGGCTCGGGCAGTCGGGCTTTAAACACCAGGCCTGATTATTGTTGGGGCCAGGCTCGGGCTTTCTCAAATAAACCCAGCCTGATAATATTACATATAATAAAAACATACAATAATAATATAATATAGATAATATATATTAGTTTACTAAATTATTACCAAATACCAATTTACAATTCAGGAAATAGGAATTAGTTTATTAGCTTATTTAATTACACCATAAATAGGACTTTTTATGTCCAGACCAGGCTTCGGGCTTGGGCTCAGGCTTCGAACTTTATATAAGGGCCAGGCTTGGCCCATTAACATTCTACTTAGAATCATTTTCCACTTCAATCTACTGAAAGCCCAACTCTGTCCAATTTCAGTCCATGGAGGAGGGTCAAATTTTCTACTCTCAAGGAGTCTCCTGCCCCTTTTGGACCTAAGCATATAGCCAAAACCATTCCTTCTTCATCTCTAAAGACTCCCCCAATACCAAAAGGTCCTGGCTTGCCAGAAGATCTTGCATCAAAGTTAAGCTTAATTCCTTGAATTGCTGAAGGGACCCAACTTTCCTGAACCACAGACTTGATAGAAGAAGAGTTAGCTACTGCATTCCATCCCCTGATTATATCTTGCACTAAAAATCCCTCAAACAATTTGCTTGTTTTTACCAAACGTTCTACTTTGAAGGTGATGCTTTCTATTAGATCTTCCTTGGATTTTGTAGAACCTTGAAAAATGTGATTGTTCCTTTCTTCTCACTTCCCAAACCACCTACAAGGTTGCTGCTCTAGTGGCTCTCTACAAAAACCTTCCTCTCTATTTTGGTTGCCTAAAAAAAGTTAGCATCAAATAGAGCTGCCACAGAAAGAGGAGTGACCATCTGCAACCAAAGAAAGAGGAAAACCAATCCTAAATACTACATACAAATAAACATGAGATTAGTGAGTGTGATACTGTCTCACCACAGTTATTGCAAAGGATACAGACATGAAAAGAAAGGCACCAAGCTGCCCTTCTTTTCTGAAGCACATCACAAGCGTCAATCCTATTAAGAGCTGCTTCCCAGCAAACAGCCCTGATGTTAGGAGCCACTGGATAACACCACACTTCTTTAGCTGGAAAGGACAAAGCCTGACTAGGGGAGCTAAGGAGGGCAATGAAAAAAGAAGCACAAGAAAAAAAGCCAAAAGGGGAGGCCATCTAGATCCTGTTATCCGAACAAGATTGGTCTAAAAAACATTACTTAGAAGAGAAAGAAGCTCATAAATGGCCCCTATTTCAACTTCCCTAAGCCCTCTCCTTAGACCCAAGTCCCACAACACCCTATCACGACAAATGAAAGAAATAGATTTTAACTTATGTAAAGACAGATAGAAAAGAGAAGGAAAATGATCTCCTTAAGGGGGGAATCCCCAAACCAAGTATCTTCCTAGCAGAGAACTTTATTAGCAGAATAAGCACCATACCTTATAAATGAAATGAAGGAGGGTAAAGTGCCAAGAATAGCTTTCCAAGGAGAAGAGTGCAACGCCCTGGGGGGAATCCCCAAGCCAAGTATCTTCCTAGAAGAGAACTTTATTACTAGAATAAGCATCATACCTTAGAAATGAAATTGAGGGTAAAGTGCCAAGAATAGATTTCCAAGGAGAAGAACGCAACGCCCTAGGGTTGAATCCAAAGTCCCAGCCATTTGCCATCAAGCCATGAATGCTGACTATCACCTTATGCCAAAGCCTATCATGTTCAAGGGGCAACTTCCATGGACATTTCCCCAAAAGTTCTAAATTTCATTTCTTTTTTTCTACAACTTAGGAAGTAAGATTAAAGTAACCTGCCTCTCTTTAAATAGTTGCATTCTCTTTCTTTCTTTTTTTATACAACTTGAAGCTTACGCATTAAGAGGCCCACTTTCTCTCTTTCAGTGGCAACACATAAGGAGCCCACTTTTACCTTCTCTCATTCCGTACTGTTCTTCCATTTCTGTGGAAATTACTTCAAAGTGCTGCATAAACTCCTTCCTGAGAAAGTGTTCCATACCGTTTTTCATACAAGGCTTCCATGCTATCCATATATCCCAAATTTTAGTGGGCTCCCCTCTTGCAGGCTGCTATCCACAGCCTAGAATTGAAGCCCATTACAACAAACCCCATATAGAAGGATTCAAAAGATACTCTAGGAGATGCCTAGAAGATATTTTTTCTTTATTTTATTTTATTAGGTTATTTGACTAGAAATTAGGGTGAAGGTTTGTTGTCTCTCAACAAATATTTTTGTTCTTCTTTTTTGCAGCTCTTGGAGTTTGTGAATTGAGGAGTCGTCTTTCTCTCTATTCCATTAATTCTCCCTTCTCCTTTAGGAGAGGTTTGGGACCGCTGCTGATTCCTCCAATGAGAGTTCTCAAAAATCAGATTTTTGAGAACACTGATTTCTCAGAAATCAGAGAAATTGCCTGTTTGGTACCATTGCTGCCAAGTCAGCCGATTTCTCAGAAATCAGTTATGAGTTTGTTTGGTAGTGCTTATCAGCAGTGATTTTTGTGTTTATGAGAACTACCTCCCCTACCCATGTCAGATGCCACATCATACAACAATAATCAGAATCAGCATGAAAATAGGAATCATCGAATTTGCTTCTCTTTTCAGCCTGATTTTAATAATTTTTTCTGACTGATTTGCTGATTTCTCAGAAATTGGCCAACCGACCACCAAAATAATCAGAGATTTTTTAATCGCTGGTGTGGCTCTGACATGGTGCCGATTTCTGATAATAATGCGAGCTCTATGTTTTTAAGCACCCCCTGCCCCAAAGAAAGAGATAGGGAAGACGAGAAGAGAATGTAATGAATGATAAAGTCTGATTCTTTTGGAGAGAGAGAAGTTTGAGTTTATAATGAAGGTTGAGTTGTTTAAATATTTCTTTTGGTAACCAAGTGGTGGAGCTTTCCTTAGAAACTTGTAGAAAGAAAGAAAATGTATGACCAATACCAGATACAAAGAATCAGTGATCCAAAGATATTATATAAAATATATGGCTGCTAATCAATTTAGCAGCATCTTCTTAATTCACTGTGGAATAATGAAACAAGATCCCATAGCCAACCCCATATGCTTTGCATTATCGCATAAGGCTTTGTTGACCTGGGTCGAGTTCCTTTAACCACATAAAGAAACAATATGAGAACTAATTGGCAAGACAATCCAATAGTGTAAAAGAACATATTCTTTCAAACATAATGGTACCGACTAGCTAATTGGTGAAGTTTTTTTTCTTATTTTCTTTTTTTTTTTTGGGGGGGGGGTGGTTAGCAATATCAATAAAGCTACATGCTATTAAGACCTGTGCTTTGAATCAGTTTAACAAATTTGATGTAACAGGATTATAACAAATATGTCTTCTTAGTTTATTCTTTGAATGGGGGAAAAACAAAGTGATGAAGTACATTATGTGTCTGTGTAATTTGTTCAATTCAGGCAGACATCATACATTATGTTTTACCATTATCAAAAGGAAAGGGTCAAAAACAGGATTTGAAGAAACTCTGCAAGAAAAAATTATGACGATGGTTGTCGGTAAAACTTCTCACCGTATTGATGAAGAGATTGCTATGGGAGGTCTTATCATCCCAAACCAACAACAACACCCGTACTCCTTCTTGCGACTTGTACCTGAGCAGCTCACCCAGTGTCAGATCTCCACTTCTCGGCAACGGCTGGGTTGGCTCTCTGAGTAGCTTCACCTTATGGTAGACAGACCAACCGACAATATAAATCAAGTGATGAGCTTCCACTATGGCATGACAAATATCTTCCCAGCACTTGCCTTGACGGAAAATATTTCCGTTCTCCAATTCAATCTCCGGAAGCTTCCCGTCGGGAACATGTGCGTCCTGATAAAGAGTCACTGACCCTCCTTTCTTCAGAGGAAAGTAAGTGTGTCGAACACCCAAATGATCTGGATCTGCTGCAATGCCATGTCGATACAAGGGATTAGTCTCGACGGGAGTAAATTGCATTTGCAGGTAAAGAACTGAACCAGGTTTGGGCGGTTTTCCGTTAGGTCCAATCACCGAAAACGGTTCATTAATGAACTCTCCAGATATGATTCTCTGAGCAGAAACCAGAACAACACCGATGAGCTGAGCACCGAATATGTCATTATCCTTAACATGGAATTCGACATTGGCGGTCGGATGAGCAAGGGAAATGTTGAACTCTTCGTTCCAGCAAGGGTCTTGGGAATTAGGGATAACTCGCGTGCGGGCGACCGTAGCTCCAGCAAGAGAAACAGTAACGTAAGGATCGCTGGTGATGATTTTTCGGTGATGTCGTCGCTGTTTGGAGTCCTCTGAGGCGGACGGATGTCGACAGGTGTCGCAGGCGGTAAAGCAACGGCGGAGACGCTCAGAGATTAAATCCATGTTAGGTAAGTTTTCAGCATTGACGATTTTCAACTTCAGATCTCCGTGAAGGTAGATGATTTGGTTTGAAGCCATGGAAGCCGAATCTTCAACGTTTCCGTCAGAATTAGAAGCCATAACAGTTGTCAGTTGCGGTAGAGTTGAGATATAGTATATGGCGTCACAGAGAATCAAAAGAATCGAACAGGAAGAAGAAAAGCATATAAGGTTTGCTTGAGTTCAACTGCTTCGAATTCGTGTTCATGCGGCAATCTCTGAAACTGTAACTAGCCGGAGATTTTCCAATATTTTTCCTTTTTTTTGCGATTTTTATATATTATATATAAATATATAATAAAATATGTCTGTAATATTATAATAATAAAGAAAAAAATGTCTGTATTCCCCTTCATCAATCGTTATCTAGAATTAATTATTAAACACTAGAAGACTTCGACGCAAAAACGACGTGGGATCGTGAGCACTGAGCAGGCGAAACCGGAAGATCTCGTCGCGTTCAACTCTAACAGCATTAGTTTGAGGGAGTACTGACGACTGCTGAGTACATCCCTCTCCGTTGCTGTTGCAGTTATACTGTTCGCCGTATTCATCCTTCTTCTCCACTGAACAGATTTTAAGATCATCAGCGGATAATATCACTTGCTAGTTGCTAAGCATTAACCATTTAATGGGCTTAATGACCATTGACCAGCACCGAGAGGAAGGCAAGTATCCGCTTTATCAATCCGATTCAATTTGGGGCTGGGTTGGGCTGGGCTGGGTTGAGCTGGGCTTGGGGCATCATCAGATATCAATCCGATTCAATTCAATGGGCTATGGATGGTGATGATCATGTAGCAAGCTCATCGTCCAAAAACGATTTTTCACTTAAAACGCAATAAAAGCCAAAAGCAGCATTTTGTGTAAGTCAAGTGGACTCAAATCTATCATTTTCTCTTACACCAATTCAATGGGCTATTGATTCTTTTACAAGAACGTGGTTTTTTTCTGAATTAAACAATAACCACACTAGTGTTTCAAATAACAGGCATAGTTGTTTATAGTGGTGCAAGTCGGGGCCGGGTTAAGTCGGGTTGAGGTCAATTCTAATTTAACCCGAGTTGTTGGATGGCTGGGTTCAGGTTGGTACGATTTCCCTATTCTCAACTGTTAAATGTTATTTCTTTTTTACAATCGTTCAATTTAATTTTAACATTATTATATAAAAAACAGACATAATTATCATGGTCTAGAAATTTTTCACTATACTTATAATTAATCATACATATAAATGGATAGATAAATACATATATAATTATATATTTATATAGATAGATACATTTATAAATACATCATGCATAGTTGCATTTATATATATATATATATATATATATATATATATATATATATATATAACACTTGAACATGTTTATATAATAATTATACATAAAAGCTAAATTAAGTTCGGGTTGGGTTGAACTGACTAAAGCATCAACCCCAACCCAACTTTTTCGGATTGGATTGGGGCTAACCAAACCCAGAATGCAGTCCTATTTATTTCACCTTTTTAAAGTCTAAACTACAAGGTTTAAAAATGGCTCTGTATGCAGCATGCACATAAAGTATCTTAATTCCAATTAAGTGGCACTTATTAATTATACTTTTTTATGAAAGGAAAATTCATTAAATTAGAAAAAATAAATTACGGGGTATTAGACAACATAGTTGATTTTTTATGTAGCATTATTTTTTGTTTTTAAAACAAAATTAATCATATTTTTTATTTTTACCTTAAAAAAATCGTGTTTTGATTTTTGAACATTCCCTACAATTGCAGAAAACAACCAAACAAAGACATTATACCAAGAAAAGTAGAACACACTAAAACACCTAGCGGCTGTTTGGCATCGTTGCTATTTCCTGGAGCAATGACGCCACATCAGCATCATGTAGGAAAAAATGGTGTTTCAGGAAATAGCCATCTGTTTGGAATCGTTTTTCCATAGAAAACGATACTTCAAGTCACGTCTTGGAAATCGGGAAAGCATGGCTTGAAGCAATGCCAAATTTGGTGTTTCCTGGAGCTTCAGCTCATTGTTGCCAACAGAGCAGTGATATGGCACACTAGCACTGGATAATGGATAGAATTGTAGAAAACATTTCGTAGAGCATTGGTACCAAACAGAAAAAGTTGTTATTGCTCCAGGAAGCGTCCTACTTGACAGCAACAATTCCAAACAAAAAGGGCATTGTTTTCTGAGAAAATGGTGCTTCCAACCCACACATTAGCATAAAAACGATGCTGCAACTGCAGCATCGATGCCAAACATATACCTAATCTATATAAATAGATAAATCAAGCAACCTATCTAATCTATATAATTATAATTAACTTCCCCGTACTTAGTACGGAGGAGACAAACGCAACGTACACGGATCGCATGGGTTAAGGGTCACCAGGATCTGCTCCTCACAAATGGGCGCCTCACGGGCACATCCACCATACATTGGGAACATCTCCCGTGAATAATAACCAATAAGTACCGGAGATGTTCCCAATGCATGAATGTGCGTGTGAGGCGCCTGTGAGGCGCCAGGCGTAAGGAGCAGATCCGGTCTCCACGGCAACACGAAGCCACCGACCACCATAAACATGTGACGCAGGGTTTTCTTTTATTATTTTATTAAGTTTTACTACTTTATTAATCCGTCAAGGGAGTTGGGATCTCACCAATAAAAACCGTTCCAACACTTCCAGCATGATCCAATACATCGAAACTTTCGAGAATGAGATCTCTTATACCTGAGATGTGCAGTCTGCAGTGTCAGATCACGTTGAAAGCGTTTTTTAAGCTATACACGTGTGCAAAGTATTAAAAATACATGATATATTGTATTTGAACCGGTTTATATGATTGCTATAAAAAAAATTCTATTTCTGTTTGATTCACAGGATTAGGGGTTTACAATTGAAATTAAAATGGTTCAATCCTATTTCAACTGTTTGGTTGAACAGAATTGAATCCCATTTTCATTTATGGTGGAACGGTATTTCCTCACTTAACCCCTCTCTTGGGAATGAGAATTCATTTCAGTTGATGCTAATTTTAATTCTTGTTTGAACCAAATAGGTGGGGATGAATAAATCATTTTGGTTCTAACTTGGACTAAAACTAATTAGATTTTTAAGGTTTTTTTATTTTTAGCTGAAATTAGAGTCAAAATTAAAATCATTCAAAATTGAAACCAGAATCGGAATGATCTATTCCTTCATTCTTTTTTGTTTAGAGTAAAATCAGAATTGGAATTGGATTCTCAATTCTAATGGAGGAGAGAGAATAGCTAGGGGTGGAAAAGAATCGAGCTTTGCTCATGAAAATCTCAATTAGTCTTGGTTTAAACCAAGCTTCAAATCAAGTTCGAGCTTGATATATAGGTTCATTTGCTAATTAAGCCAAGTCCGAGCCCAATGAAATTCAGCTCCTGAGGCTCACGAGCTTAATCAAGCTTAATATATATAATAAACAATTTTTATTACATACATACATACATACATGCATGCATGCATATGTATGTACATGTATATAATATTTTTATTTTTTATGTATAATAATAAATAATTTTTTGTATATAAAATTAAAAAATATTTTTGTATATATGATTTTTATTTTTTATAGGAAGTTTGGCTCGCAATCGAGTTCGAGACGAGTTGAGCTCGAACTTGCAAACTTTTGGGTTAAGCCGAATTTGAACTCAAGTCACTAATTAAAATCGAACTCCAACCTAACATTGTTTTGAGAAACCAAACTTGAATAACCAAGTATTCAGCTCGGTTCCACCCCACAGAATGGCTATTTCCTCAAACGTGAAATGCCATTTTACTAAGAATGATTCCCACAATTAAATGGATAGAATAAGAATGGTTCTCATTCAATTTTAGATCCCTATTCCCTCAAACCAAACGACCCCTAATTTCTATTACCCTACACCAAGGCAAAGTTGTTGCTGCATCGTTTTATTTGTAGGGTCGTACTATTACGTGGAAAATTGGAAATCACTGTATTTACAAGTGTCCAACCGGAATGAGATCTGCTCCTCACGATTCGGCGCCTCGCATCACATCCACCATATATTGGGAATATCTCTGTGAATAATAATTTATAAGTACAAGAAATGTTTTCAGTGTATGGTAGGATGTGCTTGTAAGGCGCTTGTGAGGCGCCCTATGTGAAGAGCAGATCCGGTCTTGTGATCAACTCAGCTATAAATTTTGGAGACGGAATCTGTTAAGTACGGAGGTATTTCCAATGCATGATAAGATGTGCATGTGAGGTGCCAGGTGTAAAGAGCAGATTCGATATCCAAATTTCGTGGGACCAGGTGTCATAATCGTAATCGGAAACACATACAAATATGACACGGTGACACTCCCCAATTATATATACTTTGACATCACATCAGCTCCGGATGTGACATGTGCCATGTCATTGGCTCTGGTTTGTAGAGATTTTAGGTAAGTATTAATTGTGATGTATCATCATTTATAAAAGTTGGCGTTGGGAGTTGCAACTTATGTATTTATCCTACATTTCGAGAAAATAATTTTCAATTTCTCGGTGAGATGTGTGGTATTAGATGAAATTGGTAGAGTATTGGAACGTGTTTTGTGGTAAAAGATCCTAATTCATAATTGCAATTCTAGGTGAATAGAGTTACAAACTATAATATTTGAACTGTCGTCGATTCTGGCGATTAGATTGTTCGGCCCATGAATCATTCAGGCAATCGACCATTGGCTAAAAAAAGTTGAATTGGTCAATGATCTATTGAAATGGGTGGTTAAATCATTTAACTCGTTTAATAATTTATGGTCATTTTTATTTTAATAAATTTTTATTTTTTTTATTTTTATCAAAATGGACCATCCGTTTGGATCAAATGGTTGAACTGTCAACCCAAAAACCGATGGCTAGAATGATTTTGGGTTCGGGTCATTTTTTAAAGGGTAAATTTCTTAAACTACCCTTATGGTTTTGACTAAGTAGACCCTTACTGTCAGGTATTGTCTAACGCTACCCCTACTATTTCTAACAATTGACTAGTTCTACCCTTATTGTTAACATACATTAATATTCCGTTACACATGATGCATATTTTTTTAAATCCAATTTTACCCTTCATCCCTCTCTCTCTCCTTCCCCTTCTTTCTCTCTCCATCTCTCCCTTGTGCGACGGACCACTCCACCTCCGGCCTCTCTCTCTCTCTCTCTCTCTCTCTCTCTCCCCCTCCTTCTTCCCCTTCGTTCCCTCTACCCTCGATGTACCTTGGACCTTTGTCCAAGCCTCGGCTAGATCCGCTCAGATCTACGTCTGCTACTTCCCTCCGTCCAGATCTACCTTTGATTCGTCTCTCTCCCTAGTTTTAGTGTCTCATCAATCTCTCGTTCTCTCTCTCACAAGGTCAATCCAAACCCTAAAAAATTCCCAATTCTCTCATGTCATGTCTCGAAGCTTCTATACAAATGTGCTCTTATTAGTTGCAAAGAACGTGAGCGAGAGAGAGGATTTAGGAAGTGGTGCTAGTGACATTATTTGTATTTTCTTTTGTAATCTTGACGGAGTTGGATTTTTGGAGTTAGAAACAAGGTTCAAGAAATCGATATGATACGCCTTGTATCGGACATATCGTATCGTATCTTTTGCGTCCCGAAACACCTGTAAGCAAATGTTTTGGGACCCCACCCTTTTTTAATAAAAAAACCCCATTTTTATCTCCTCAAAAACCAAAAGTTGAAAAAAAAAACTAAAAGAAAAATGTATTTCGATGTGTTTCTAAGTGCCGATACGTAGAGGCATATTGATACTTTGAGCCATGGTTAGAAGTGTCATTTAGTATATGGATTCGAATGGGTGAGGGTTTTCTTTGATTTTTTTTCTTCTCTGATATTTTTTTTTTCAAATGCCATTTTGTTACTTTGACTGGGATAGTTAGATTTTGTCTTTGATTTGTAAGCGAAGATAGAAAAGAACAGATGACTGACTTGCATTGATTGCTTTGAGAAGCACATATGAAAGCACACAGTTGTAGATGCAAATCATCACGACTAAGTGACTATTACCATTAACATTTAGAAATGTATTGGAGTCAAACGACCGCCGGTCTAAAGTAGGATTACTGGAATCCCACTTCAGTGCAAAAGAAATTCCATGGGAGTACACTTAGTCAGTGCAAATGGCCATTGAAATTTCGTTCAGTCTCATCTTTAATGAAGTGGGATTGCTGGTTTTGATCTAACGAAGTGGGTGACCACTGGCGACGCCACGATGGAGATTGACGAAAAAGGAATTCCCTCGACCGGGTTGACGGATTCAATGAAGGCCAGTCTAGGATGGTGCTCGGAAGTTGTAGTGGCCGCCGTTACCTATCACAATGGTGGTGCTCAGTCTTTGTTTTTGGGTGTTATAACAAGGGACAAAAAAACATAAATTTAGCTTTGGTCATAAATGTGAATTAAAGGTTAAAATGGGCATTTCAACTGTTCCGCCCATATGAGAAACAGTAAGTGTAGGGCTAGATAATTTTCAAAAGGGAAAATCTATAATGCGGAAAAGATATGATATTGGAAAGAGTTTTGACTAATCAAAACCCACCCATAAATTATGATAAATAACACTTTATTTACTACCACGTTTATAATTTCAGTTTATTGGTCAATTGTTTTTTTAGATATCATATCTTTTCTTTATGATAGTCGAACCCTTTTCAAAATAGTAAGGATATATTTAATCAATTTTCTAAATCATAAACGTAGTTTAAAAAATTTATCCTTTTTTAAAATATTGTAATTCTGGTTAATTGAACGCATTGGCTGTGAAATCAATAATAACACATGGATCCACAATAAGAAATCTTGGTGGTGTGAGCATTTATCATTGGTCCCACAGCTTGGTGAACGGTTATTGTCGAGATAGAACATCTCCTCTACTTGTGATGGGTAGCCGATCTGATCTCATTATTGCCTTCAACTAACCTTATCTCCTTGCAGAGTGGATCTATTCATTCAATGACAAGTGTTGGGATCTGCTGCATTTTTCCATGAGCAGATCCAGACTCCAGAAATTCCAAAACCTAATTTATCAATTCACCTGCTTATCCAAAATAAATGAATAAATAAATAAATAATCTTTTTGTGTCTTACACCATTCGATCTTTTAGCCTCGCTTTCAGCAAGAAGGAAGATAAATAAGAGGACCTGCTGGTTGCTACATCCCTAGTCCTCCTTACACAGACATCCATGATCCAGAATTCCAGATTATGAACATGAAGAAAGTAATATTTAGATTAGACGCTAATTATATAAGCAAAGACCTTCATAATCTAGATTGAGAGAGAGAGAGAGAGAGGGGACTATGGAGTAAAAAAATCATTGGTTCTTGTTTCATTTTTCTGTCCAGAATGCAATTTTATCAACTTGCACCCTGCCTTGTGAACTGAACAGCCTCTAGCTACAAACTGCAGTCAAAACTTTATGAAAGGCAGGCATCTCTTTCAAAGCTGTTTGCTGCAACTGTCAATAGATATATGAAGGTAAATTGATTGCTTGAATCAATATGATTAGCACTCGATCTCAACTTTCTTTACCGACATTTGAGCATGCAAGGGTGCCCGAAGAACCTGGAATGCCAAAGAAAGATGCTACTGTGCTTAGTAGGCATTTACATCCTACAAGATTAGTTCCTAACAGAGGCTGCTGCTGTTGATTTTGTGGCATGAAGTAGGAGGAACAGCCCTTATCATGATACTCTGTACGAAGGCTATCATCTGCATGGGAAAATGGCCTACTTAAAAAATTTACATATAAAATCAAGAATGAATTAACCATATTAGGTTATCAATATTAAGGTCCCATTTGGTTTGCAGGAATAGGAGTCTGGAATCGGAATTGGAATGGGCCATTCCGATTCCAACTGTTTGGTTGGGTGGAATCGGACTTTCATTCCCATTCCTAGTGGAATGGCATTCCCCCATTTGAGGGAATATCCATTCCCTCCCCCTCCCTTGGGAATGAAATCCAATTCCCATTCTGATTCCTGTCTGAACCAAACAGACTATGGGAGTAGACCATTCTGATTCCGGTTCCAAAGGATTTCAATTCCAATTCCAACTGTAAACCAAACCGACCCTAAGTATTTAAGGAACATTCCTTTATTACAAGGATTTCATTAGGGCTCAAAGATTGTAGAGTGAGGTTGGTGATGTTACTAGCTAGGAGTAAAATGTAACTAGAAGATCCAGACACCTGAGAGCACTTGCTTTTATTTTTTATTTTTTGATGATTAAGATGAGAGCACATGCTTGTGATGACCCAATTAAACATGGACACGCCAGCCCTTTCGATTTTCTTTTTTCTATTTCCATTGCTGCCATGTCTGTATCTAATTGGGGGATTGCAAGGAAATACTGCGACCACAAGCAGATGTGGACCTGGTCTAGATAGAAAAAAGTTCAAATTATTTAATAATGGTAGCCTGCAAACTATTACAGCCGGTCACATTGATAAAGAACTTACTGATGCAAATCCAATGCACATGATACTGAAACCAGGGAAATGAAATGGTGCATTTTCAGATAGGAACAAAGCTGCAAGAACAAGAGCCAAGAAGACAATGAGTTATAATTAGTTCATAATAAGATTGATTTTAGACTGCAAAAGATTTTAATGAATTTTCCTGTTACCTGTTAAAGGAGTGAAAGCTAATGGAGAGATAATGTTGGCAAAGGAACATATGCCTGAGATACATCCTTGAGCCTTCCCCTGAAATAGTATGTGTTCAGCTGTATAAGCCAAGAAGCAAAGGCTGGCTATTATACCGGATAATGCATACCAACATAGACATACATAGGGAAACAGGGATACAACTCCCCATTTCCTAACATCTGAAACATGGATAGGTGGGCATACCATATGATATGCTTATATCATGTTTTTGTATTTAGTTGTAATGTCTTAAGATTTATTTCTTATCAAATTTAATTAGGTCTCTAACATATGGCCTCATTCATTTGCATCTTTGTAACTTACCTAGGTAAGTTCACTTACCCATGTTTTTTTGATTTCTAGGATTCCCAGGTAAGTAATGCAATAGCATTTTTACCCATTAAAAGCTAATATGAAAATGGGGAAAGTTGTCCCATTATGCTTTATAAAATTCTCCTCCCCTAGGAAAGTTACTTACCCACTTGGGAAATGCGTAAGTTTTACCCAGGGAAGTGGAGCTTATTTTACCGTGGGGCCCATTAATTAGTAAATGCAAAAAGAACATTGTAAAGTTGGTCAATGGGGCCAACTTTCCCAAACTCATTTACGGGTAAATGAATGGGGCGATAAAGATTTTTATAACATGATTGTCAAAACATGCCATTTTATATATTTTTAAGGTGGTAATACCACTGAGTATTGGATAATAAAAGTCAACCCAAACCAATAACAAAATCCTATATTGTGGGAATATAGATAAAATAAGCCATCAAACAGTAGAAAATGGTTATGTGCAGGAGGAGAAAAAGTACCGAAGAGGCCCATGATATACTGTAAAGAAACATCTGCATCATTCCATTCCATGGATCAGTAAATCCAAAGTTTGAAAATATACAATATCAGCTTAGGTGATAAACATGAAGAAAGTATCAGAATTGGAAAAGCTACCTAGTTACTTACATGTGTACAGTTTGCCAATAACCCTATGGTGAGCAACTTCTCCTCCCCAAGAGTAAGTGCCAACTGTTAGACAGTTGTATGTCCTTAGCTTCAATCAGAAATATGTACATTATGAATTTATTGAAATGAATAAAGTACACATTTGATTCATGTTCCTGTGGTGTGTTTCTGTATAATACCCTTAAACTGGACACTTAATGAGACTTGTGTTAGTTTAGAATGTTCACAGTCATTAGGTAAGTCTGGGGAGATTTATCCTGCCAAGGCTGACACTGGTGTGCTGCCA